TTTCATTTTTTTTTTAAATAAATACTTGACTTTGTAGATTAGTTTTTGCATCATATTGCATCATCCAATGGCTTGCCAAACAAAAGCTCAATTATTTCTTTTGTACTTACCTTCTTTCATTATCATGTCACAAGGAATTGTTGCTACTTCATACGTGCCACTAGTGAAAGTCACGTACTTTGCACGTGTATGTTTAGTGTGTTGAGTGTTTTGATAGATATATGTTAAATTTTAAAGAGTTTAGTTTTTTTTTTTTTTTAATTTGATATTCTCTTTTAAGTTTAGTAGAAATATCTAATCGAGTAATAAAAAAATAAAAAAAAAGTTGTATTTTTTTCTAAAAAAAGTAATTGAAAATAAGTTTTAAAAAGAAAATTAAATGTAAATACTTATTTTCCATTTTCACTTAAAATTAGGAATTATATTTATAATTCCTAATAATTTTTACAAATATCTAATATGCAAAAAAAAAAAAAAATCTATATATGCGTGTGCTCTGATGGATCGAAAGCTTCCATCGATTGTAATGGTTTCAAAAAAAGCCTTATGGGTGCTCAAATTGATGTATTGAGATACTTTCTCTATATCAAGTCTCGTCTCACATTGTTTTTCTTGTGCTTCATCAGAATTTATTGATGGAACCGGTTTTTATCGAGTGTTTTGTATTGTGTACCGCAGAGTCATCTACATTATTATTAGTGTCTGTAAGACCTTTTAGTTGAATGAAACTTTACCTTTACAAAAATCTATATAAGCCTAAATGTGTTAATTGTTGTTGTAACACAAATCTTTAAGAGTTAGAAAAGCTTATGATAAAAAATTGTAATGAAAAGAAATGTAGTGGGAGTGGAGAAAAATAAACAAATAACATTTAAAGCTAAAAAAACGAGATTAATATAACTTAGATGTAAAAACGAACGTACATTAACTCGAAGAAAATGATTTTAGAAAAACTTTTATAAATATACAAACTCTTTTAAATTCTCATGTTTGCTTATTTTAGTACAAATATAAAAGAATCTCCTAAAATGTTAAACCATATACAAAAATAATTCCTGATCGGTTACAAATCAAATACTACCCTCATTAAGATTGATAGGGTATTAGTTACTATTTTGAATATTAATTTAATAAAATTAAATAAACACAGTTTCAAACTTAAATTTTCAAAAATACAACAAGCCCAAAAAAAAGTTGAAAAGCTCTCTCTCTCTGTGTTTTGGACGACGAGAGAGCTTTCTAGACTTTGAGCCCGTTTGGTTGAAGGATTCGTTCTCTGATTCGAATCATAGTTCATGGTTCGCTACAGTATTTTCTCTCACAAAAAACACACGTAAATCGAAAATGATTCTAATCTCATGATTCTAATCTATGAACCAAACGGGCTCTAATCGCTTCAATTTCCTATTAGTGAGCATAGAATGGAATTTATGAGAACGGATGGTAACGTAAATCCCCCCTCCAGACCAAAAAGAAAAATGCTCATGTCCTATAATTTTAGTTAACTAATATTTAAGATTATAGTCATTGGAGAAATAATATAGAGAAAAATGTCTAACAGTACAAATGAAAAAATAATAATTTAGAAGATTACAAGTAAAAAATAAATAAAATCAAGCATTTATCAAGGTCATTATTGAAAAAAAGAGTATTTTAGAATATTGCAAGAAAAATTAGTTAAATAAGGAATATTTGAGAAACATTATTTTACTAAACTACATTACTGAAAAAACTATTTTAATTTGACACGTTTGAGAATATAAGATATTTTAAAAATAAAATGGATACACTAAAGTGCATCTTTTGATCAAAATGTATGTTTTAGTTTAGTATTGTACATGTAGAGAATATATGAGAAGGAAAAAATGATTAGATTTTAAAAGGGCAATTAGAAGAGAAAGTATAAAAAGATTGAAATGGTGGAAACATATTTAAAAAAAGTCATTTTGGTAGGTAGAAAATAGAAAGTAAATGAAACAAGTATTGTAAAAAAAAATTTGAAATATATTATTTCAAAAGAAAGAAGCAATAAAAACAAAGCCAACAAAGAAAAGTCAAGAAAAAACAATAAAATACACAAGAAGCTAAAATAACTTGACCAAATTTTAGAATAGTGCACACAAGAAAACTCTCATTCATTACTTACTTTCTATTGATTGCCCTTTGCTTGCTTACTTTCACACATCCTTGAGTGAGCTACTTAAGGTAGGGGGCACTCCTAGCATAGATAACCATTCTAACTTGTCCTTGCTGGAATATAGATGTGCTTAATTAAGCCCCGTTCATTTCACCGATTTGAGTTTAAAATTCGAGTTTTGTTATAGTAAAAAACTCTCAGAAACAATCACATTTAACTTTTTTACTACAGTAAAAAAATCTAACATAAAATCACATCTCAATTTGAATCATCGAACTAAACGGGTCCTTAGTTACCTGAATTCACTCCTTTGCGGAGAAAGGACTCTTGAATAAGTGTGTGAATTTAATTTTATTGAATTGTTTGATACACGTACAATTTAGTTCATTTTCTTAATTTATTAAGTATTCTCTTAATTAATTATTTAAGGGTATATTTGAGAAAATAGTCTACAAGAGGTTCGTTAAAAAGAAAATGTTTAAGTAGGACAAGTATCTATAACGGTCACATTTGAGCAAAACATTCAAAACTAAAAGAGATGTTTATATATATTTTTTAGGCATACATTTGAGAAAAATTATTTCGATATAGCATAAAAAGATTATTCTAAAAAGGTATATTTAAAAGTATAAATTTCAAAAGTAGTATTAACATGTGTATTTTAATAAAAATTACATGTATAGATAAATGAAACACATTTAAATTTTTTTAAAAAAAATAGTATAGTAATTATTAGCGTACATATGAAAAGGAAAAGTTTTTGTAAGTAAATTCATTGGGAAAAATTATTGAAATGGAGAAAATTTAAAAAGGGCATTTATAAAAGCCACATTTAATAAAATAATATCTATAAATTTGTAAAAATACTTAACTAGGATATATTTGAAAAGAAGTAGTTCAACATGAACAAATTTATAGAACACTATAAATGTAAAAAATGAAAAGGATAATCTTAGCTTAGCAAAAATGTAAAAAGTTAAAAGGGTAATAAAATGATAGTATAAGTTTAGGGGGGAAATCTATAGAACACTATAAATGTATAAAATGAAAAAGATAATATGAGCTTAACAAAAACGTAAAAGGTTAAAGAGGTAATAAAATGATAGTATAAGTTTAGGGGAAAAACTCAATAGCACATCAAACAAATTTAAAAAGTTGGAAAACATGAAAAATAATAGGATAATAAAACCCAATGGAAAACAAAAAACAAAAGAAAAAAAAAAAACCGAAACAAAAGAGGAAAAAAGAGAAACAAAAGACAAAAAGCACAAAAAGGACAATAATTTTAACCAAAATTTTAAATAGTGTTCCAAAAAAACTCTCCTTTATAATATAATAATAGATTTTAATTGAACACATTGTGAGGCTTTCTAGTACCTTATTACTTGGCGAGCAATTTGCACAACTTACTGGGTCCAAATTGCCTATTATCAATGTTAGATTACCTATAGTAATTAAAAAAACACCAATATCTTTAACCTATCAATGGGAAAAGTCACTTTAATGGTTTCTTCCTTTTGGTAAAAAGGAAAAGATGTCATGTTTTTTTTAGATAGATTTTGATCAGAAAGACAGCTATCTAGCTATTTTTTTTTAAGCTAAAAAAAGTCATGTTTTTCTTAAATTATTTATCTAAAAGAAGAAATTTGAGATTCCAAATTTCCAAAGAGAGATTTTGGAGATGGAAGACAGGCATCTAGTTCTATCATAAACGTTTTTTTTTTTTTTTTTTTTTTTTTTTTTTTTTTTCTAGTAAATCCAAGTGTCATGCTTTGGATAAGTAAAAAAATAAATAAATGAAGAGAGGAAAAAGTAAACACTTATAGATTAAAAATAATAAAAATTAATAAAAATTGAGATTTCAGCTCAAATGGTCCTTTTTGAAGATTTTTTTTTCAAATAGCAAAGTTTTATAAAATTGTAAAAATGGCTATTTTTATTAATTTAGTGGTCAATTATTGATTGACATCACTTATTAGACTTAACAATCAATCACTGATTGACTATTAACTCAATTATTCTTTATTATTAATTAATATTAGTTAATAATAAATTAAAATCAATTAGTAATTAATCAATTTTAATCAACAAATTACATATTTATTAATGATAAATCATTAATAAATTAATAATAAATTGATCAATCACTGATTAACGATGGGTCAATTACCGATTAACTGTGGTCTATAAGTCAATCATGATTGACTCATGTAAACAAAGTTGTCATTTTTGTAAAATAAAAAATTTAGACATTTATGAAAAGATGTGGTAAAAAAAGGCCATCTAACCAAATTTTTCTTTAAAAAATCCTTCAAATAAAGAAGATCTATTGATAGTATATGTTCTTACTGTTAGATCATGTCAAAACCATATTAAAATTAGAAAATATGCATAATATATAATTTTTAATATAAATTTTGAAATTAAAAACAATTAAAAGCTCCCATCATTCCACCTACCTTAGAAATCTAAGGTCATGTTCATTATACCGATTCGAGTTGTGTTATAATAAAAAGCTTTCAGAAACAGTTACATTTAATTTTTTTACTATAGTAAAAAGTTTTAACATAAAATCACATCTCAACTTAAATTAAAAACTCAAATAAATGAAGGCCTCGTTCATTTCACCGATTCGAGTTTTCAATTTTAGATTTTTACAGTAAAAAGCTCTCAGAAAATGTCACATCTAACTTTTTTTACTACAGTGAAAAGCTCTCAAAAATGTCACATCTCAACTCAAATTGAAAACTTAAATCCACAAAGTGAACGAGACCGAACTAAACAACTTTAAAAAATTAATAATATAACAAATAAAGGAGGCAAAAAAAAAAAGAAAAAAAAACACCAAAACAATCACATGCCAACCAAAATAGTGCAGATTTTGCCTCTCTTTCATCTTCCTCTCTCTCTCTCCTCAAACATTGAGAAGAAGAGAGAGAAACTGAAGACAGAGACGCAACAAAAAGACAAGCCTCTTTTCTCTTCTCCTCACTGCATGACCTTGTTTGATCACTTTCTCTCTCTATGACCCATTTGAGTAAAAACCCATCACTGATATAATCTTCTCATATTCCCTCTCTCTTTTCTCTAACTTTCTGGGGCTCCGAGCACCGACCCAGGTATCCATTTGCCCCCAAAGGGTCTTCCAATATCTCTCCGCCCATTTTTCTGGAAACTTTTTGTGGGTTTTCCTTAATTTTCTTTTTGGTGTATTTTAAAGGTGGAGAAGAGAAGAATGTACTCAAGCATCCATTCTCTGCCGTTGGATGGAGTTGGGGATTATCAGGGATCGTTGGATGGGATGAACTTGCCCGGTGACGGTTGCCTTGTTCTGACGACGGATCCCAAGCCAAGGCTTCGATGGACTGCTGAGCTCCATGACAGATTTGTTGACGCCGTCACCCAGCTTGGCGGTCCTGATAGTGCGTATTATTATTATTATTATTATTATTATCATTATTATTATTGCTGTTATTATTATTATTATTATTATTATTATTATTATTATTGTTGTTGTTGTTATTATTATTATCGTTACTTTATTTTTAATTTTTATTCTTGTCCAAGAATAGTTTTTTTTTCTGTTTTTGTAATTTTTGCTCTTCATGGGCCCGTTTAGTTCATTGATTTGAGTTTTTAATTTGAGTTGAGATGTAATTTTATGTGAGAGTTTTTTACTGTAACAAAAAAGTTAGATGTGATTGTTTGTTAGAATTTTTTACTGTAGCAAAATTCGAATTCTAAACTCGAATCAGCGAAATGAACGGGCCAGATTATTTGGAATTCAAGGTTAATGAGGGTCCTTGATTTTTGTTTGGTGTTATGAAGTCATGCCTTTTCAGTTCAATGAAGGGTTTCTTTTTATTTTGTTTGTTTTATTTTGGTTTTCTTAATTAAAAATTTTACTATGCGACTGAGTATGAAAAAACACATTTATCCATTAAAGTTTCAAAGTAAGAAAAGTAGGATATTTAACTTGGCCCATTCAGAATTATGTTGACATCGTTTTTGGCTACACTGGCATAGAATTCTTTTTATTATTATTATTATTAAACACCAGATAACATATTTATAAGAGCAAATTTGTAATATAACATTCTTATCCTTGCAAATATCTGTAAGTGTGCATCAGTTTTTGGAGTGGGTTAGTGGTTTGGCACTTTGGCTGAATTCCAGTGATTTGACAATGTTCCTATCCTTGTTTATTTCTTGGAGGGAGGGTTTATAATTAATGTTTATGGTGTTGACTTTATTGTAATTAATGTTTATGGTGTTGACTTTATTATTCCCCATAACTGCTCTTCAACTCTTTTAATGATTGCTTATGTTGCTATCACCTGTGGAGTTGCCTCACAAAACTGAGGTTGCTTGATATTGATTGATTCAACTTATAACATTTAAGGTTATTTTCTTATATTACCTGTCTATTTCAATCTCGCTTTTTTTCCCTCTAATTTAGTTTCATAGTTCTTGGGACTACATGGTACAATATTGAATGGAGTTACATTTCTATGAGTAAAATTATAGGACAATTTTTTCTTATGGTATTTTGTTCAATTACTTTGGTTTTTTTTTTTTTTTCTTTTTCTTTTTCTTTTTGGAGAAACAAGGCAGGAACGAACCTGCAACCTGCCCTAAAGCTCCACCCCCACCCCCACCCCACCCCACCCCACCCAAACCTCGGTGCCATTGAACCAAATGGTCTTAGGCTTTATGTTTTTTTCCTTAAAAGATTCTTTTGTTATTTTTGATCATCTCACAAATTGTAGTATTGTTGTATTTATTTAAGGGAGACCAGCCTAGAGATTTTTTTTTTATATATATATTTTTTATAGATTCCAGGCATTATCTATATAATGTTATCCTATGCCATGAAACAATTTATATAAAGCATTATCCTATAATTTTTTTTAAGAAGTAGGTTTTCTTTTATTCATCCCACGTCCAAAGGGACAAAAATTTGCTACAGAATTTGAGTCAAGAGTAAACCTAACATGTACATAGATTTATCTACCATGGGAAACCATTTGCAAAAATCTTTCTAAAAGCCTCCCATCTACAATTCAAATTTCATTTTCTAACAAATTGACTTATGAGTACTTCCACTTCTTTTCCACCTAGTTTTCTTGTTTATTTCTAGCAATATCCGAAGCCCCATAGAAGTCATGCTTTCATCATAATTAAAGGTCATGCTCTAAGAGCATTGGTTATGATAATCTTAGGAGAACCAATGCCTTTACTTACTAGGTTGGTTAGCTAACTATGTCTAAGGGGATGGCATGCCATGTACCTGCGGACGATCAATTTTCGTGGGCAACCATTGAGTTTTGCCTTCAGTGAAACTGTGTACCCCAGAAAAGCTGGAAGTTGCACATTCAGTTATTTTGGTGATTAACTTCAGTGTCCTTTTTTATCAAACTGCTTTCAGCCTCAGTTTACTTTTGTTTCAAACATTACACAACTAAGGACCTATGTTGTCTAGAGCTATATTGCTAAATGGTTACTTCATTAAATTATAAGAGGTGTAAAGTCCCGGTAAGCAGCATTTTTTCCTATTCTATTAGACTTCTTTTATCCTTTTGCTTGTAAAAGATAGTACTCATGATTATCAGTTATGCTAGCCTGACCCGAGTGTTGAGTTGGCGAAAGGATACAGTAAGACTGCAACTTATCTTGGTCCCTGGAAGTGAATCTTTTTTTTTTTCCTACTCAACTCTTCTCAGCAAGCATATATAATTCCTGTGATCGAGCATCAACTAGATAATGATGTCATCTTAAAATGTTGATAGAATCTGATCCCCGCTTTAGACCAAAAAACAATCACTCCCTATCTAAATTTGACAGTATGAATTTTCCACAACCTGAATCTTAGGAAAAATAGGTTGGAACACCTAAGACAACATAGGCTCAAGATAGTTAAGACGAAACATATTTTCACAAATCAACAGAAACACTGAGGCCTCGTTCATTTCACCGATTCGAGTTTTCAGTTTTAGGTTTCTACAGTAAAAAGCTCTCAGAAAATATCACATCTAACTTTTTCTGCTACAGTGAAAAGCTCTCAGAAAATGTCACATCTCAGCTCGAATTGAAAACTCGAATCCGCGAAGTAAACGAGGCCTTAATCACCTATATTTGATCTCGGAACAATTTAGTCTATGTAACCCCGTCATTTTTGTTCCTTTTCCCAAGAAATTTTTATCGAACAAATCTAGGGTCTGGCTTGTTACATTTGTCAATGACAATTACATATCAGATTTCAGTGCGGTTCTTATCAAAGATTTATAAGTTTGACCTGATTTTCTGGTTTCATCTCGTTATACTTTGCAGAAGCAACACCCAAGACTATTATGAGAACGATGGGAGTAAAAGGCCTTACTCTTTATCACTTGAAATCACATCTTCAGGTTTGTTCTTACCATGATAACTATCTTCAAGGAAGACGATTTTTATAATAAAAGCTTCTATTGCGTTCTAAACTTCTCAAAGCCACAAACTCTGCTTGCAGAAATACAGATTGGGGAAGCAATCATGCAAGGATTCTACTGAAAACTCTAAGGATGGTATAGACCCTGAATTTTTAAGATCTTAGTATGGGACATTTTGCAAAAACCTTCAAGAACTCTAGCTTCATCTTTTCTTTTTTGGTCTTCACTATGTTGCATCGGTATATTTAGCTTTAAGAGTTACCATATTCAGCTTTAAGAGTTACCATATTCAGCTTGATTCAGTTCTTGTTTCTCCGAATTAATTTCACATTTCCAGGAATATATCTACCAATATGGGAAATTTTGCATACTGATAATTCTACAAAGTTTACTCTCTCATTTATAAGTTATAACATTCAGTGTCAGTGCTTCGATTCATGACAACAGATTGAGCTTTGAAATACTAATCAGTTAAAAATTAATGTGTAGTTGGAGCTGCAGCCTCTTGCATCGCAGAAAGTCAGGACACCGGCTCATCTACGTCGTCCACGTCAAGAGTTATAGCACAAGACATTAATGAGTATGCGATATAATTTCACGCTTTCTACTAATTGCTTATCAATTTTTGTTTTTCTCATATTGAAGCTTTTCATTCTCCAAACAGTGGTTACCAGGTTACCGAGGCTTTGCGAGTACAAATGGAAGTCCAACGAAGACTTCATGAGCAGCTGGAGGTTAGTCTTCTTTATTTGACTAGAAAGTTTCAGCTAATAGGTTTTTGCATTAGGAAAACCGACTTCAGCGACATGACAATCGCCATATGAGCTTCTAAACAACAATTCTAAGCCCTTTTTGTGGATATTTAAGATTTTTCCTTCCCAACTTAATGACTAATTATGTTTACGTATAAAGCTTATAATAAGCCAAGCCGGCCAACCGGGACATACCCTTTGTTCTTTCCTTTCTTGAGTTGCAATCCAATTATAGAGGGTGTTTGTTTCACAACTCAAAGTTAAGAACTCGAGTTGTGTTTGTGAGAGAAAAACACTGCAGCAAAAAAGTAGAATTTGAATTTTTATAAGGAAAAATACTGTAGCAATAGAACTTGAGTTGTGAAAAGAACAAGGCCTATAGTTTTTAGATATTAAAAAGCACTTTCAATTTGTTGTGGTTATACCGATGAGCAGGTGCAACGTCGTCTTCAACTTCGGATTGAAGCACAGGGAAAATACCTTCAATCCATACTCGAGAAAGCTTGTAAAGCGCTGAACGACCAGGCTGCGGTATCAGCTGGGCTTGAAGCTGCAAGGGCAGAGCTTTCTGAACTAGCCATTAAGGTGTCAAGTGACTGCCAAGAAATGGCTCCAACTGATACGCTAAGAATGCCTTGCTTGTCCGACATTACTGTGGCTTTGGATAATAAAGCCGCTGGTACAAGCATGCTGGCCCGCCTCGGCAACTGGTCGATTGACGGTGGGTTGACATCAACCGGAAGCCCGGTTTCCCCAATGGGTATGAGTTCGCAGGCTGCTGCCATGATGATGAAGAAAAGACCAAGACCCTTCCTTGGCAATGGAGAGCTAATGCCCTTGGAGGGCAACATGAGGCAAGAAGTGGAATGGATGACCAATATTGGGTGAATCAGTTATCCTTTGAAAATGGAGTCATTTTTATTTTTATTTTTATTTTCCTGCTTGTGTAGTTCTAGATGTGGCATCCTTTTTATGGTTTTGTATAATCTGAGGTTTGTATATTGGTAAAAGCAGGTCTTTTGATGTGGGGGAAACCTTTCAATCAATTTAGATTTGCTAGTTTTACACGCAGAGAAAATGTTCTAATTTCCTTTTCATTTTATTTTCATAAAGCTTATGCTTCTCGTGATTCCCGTCAAATGTACATTGAAACATGAGTCAAAAGACTTTAAGCAAGCAACTTTAGCACAGGAACAATGTTAAGTATCGGAGGCGGTGAGCACCACCTAATAATAGAAGGTGAATCTCGCGGTATAAAATATGTAAGTGGGGTCCATTTTATATTTGTGGTGGTGCTTCAATTTTTTTTTCTTTTTGGGTGCTTCATAGTGGTGCTCCAAGTATTTTTGTTAATAGCGCAAAATAAGAAAACAAAAACAGAAACAAGAAAGCAAAACAAAGAAGAATATGAGCAATTAATCCTTATTCCTTATTTATACCCCTTAATAAAAGGAGCAATTAATTAAAATCTGCAGGGCCATCGTACTCTATTTGAAAAACAAAAGTAATTCCGTGTCGCTTTACATATTATTGTCTTTTTCGGAGTTATTTTATGAGGATGTTGTCGTTTTTTACTTTTTATCTTTTTTATACAATGTCCCTTCCTTTCCAAGTTATTGTCGTTTCAAAATAGTGTTGTTGTCGTTTTTAAACGAAATAGTCGCATGTTGAACAAATTCCTAGGCCCATTCGTTTTGTTGGTTTGAATGACAACTCAAATTTAACTTTTTGCATTGTAATGTTTTTTCTTACATAAATACAAAACTCGAGCCAAGTAACGGAATATTTCTTAAGGCTCCGTTTATTTCACCGATTTGAGTTTTACTATAATAAAAAGTTTTCACATAAAGTCATATCTCAACTCCAATCAGCAAACTAAACGGGCCATAAGTTTATAAGTTGGAGGAATCTCCGAAGCTTTTCCATCAAAATCGAGAATCTAATTCCATTTGGATACGTTTCTTAAGTAATCTCCACTTAAATTTTATGATTAATTTCAAAATTTCCCTCTGAACACTTTGCCATCTGAATTTTCAAAAGTAACACCCGTTCCCCCCGAACTTAATTCTTTTAACAAGTTTTCCTCCTCTGTTACAATGAGTGACGGAATTTGTCACGTGTCAAGCATATGACCCATCTGATGAGGGTATTATCATAAATTAACCTGCAACAACGCTTTCAAGCATTAAAGAAAAAAAAACTCAGTAAATGAACATGACCCATTTGATGGGCTGCAGCATAATCGCCGGTACCTTTGATGGCTTCTCCTCGTCGCAACCGAAGCCATAACCGGACTGGTCATGGCTCTACCACCAGCCGTACAACAACCCACGAAATTGTTCTCGAGCTTCAAACTCAAAGAACCCCACAACTTCGATCTCAATGAGATTGAAGAGCTAAAGGATCTTGGTTTGTGAGGGTTCGAGATATTTGGTAAAGTGACAGTGTTTTAAGCTCTATTGATGCATATTTTGGTCACTTGGGCAATTTTTTGCTGGTTGCCGAATCGAATTCAGCTGCGGAAGCGTGGGGAGAGGCGGATCGTGTATAACAAAAATTTCAGAAAAACTTTTGAGATACTCTATAGATTATATTAATTTATGCACGAATAAATTAATCGCATTAATTTATATATCAAGAACTCAATCCGAAAAAATACCTGGAAGCCGACTCGGATGATAACTTGAGTTCTTTGACCACGCGCACTCCTTGCTCCAAGTTTTGTGTTTAGAATACCAAAGTCTTCCACGTCAATTCCTTGATTCCACGTAGACGTGTGTGTGAGCACACGTGAGACAAAACAGGTTTCTTAAACACTCGAATTTCCACAAACACCAACGCATGCACGATGTGGAATATTTTTTGAGAGAAAAAATTTTCTTCTCTTTTTCCCATATGAAATTCGGCCACACTCAATTAGGGCTGAAAAAATGTTTCAAAAATTATTTTCACAATTTTCTATCATTCTCATATTTAAAGAGTAGAAGTCAAACTTCAAAACAGAATCAAATACCTATCTCCAATTTGAATTTGGAACAAAAACTCCCTTCCCCTTATCCATAAGGTGGCCGCCCACACTATTAGGGTTTCACCTTATGTGTGGCGCCAATAACAGATAGGGAAGGAAGAGAAAACATCATTTATCCTGTAGTCCAATTTTAATTCAAATTCAAATTCGAATTTAAGTCAAACTTAAATTAATTTGAATTCTAAATTGAACAACTTATCAAATAAGTTCAAAAGGATAAATTTAAATTATGTTCACAATTCAAATTCAAATTTAAATAATCACATTATTTAAATAATAATTAATTCTCAATCAATAATTTTCGAGTATTTAATTTTAGAATTCCGTAATTCTAAAATTCCCATTTTGCCCT